CGCGGTTGCGTCTGAGCTTCCTCCGTACACCTCACGGCCCATCCAGTCAGTGTCGAAGAGCAGGAAGGGGAACCAAGCGATCCAGTTTAGTGCAGTGACTATAAGTAGCATCCACATCGGTCTTTTCAACTCCTTGAACGCTCCGAATATCTCTCCGAAAAACGGAACGTTCGAGGCTTTCCCGTCGGCGGTTGGCTCCGGCGTCCATTGCTTCTCATCCACGTAACAGAGCGAGACGAAAGTGACTAAGAGGAGAAGCGTAATGGAGAGGAAGAAACACGTCTTGAGGTTTGCACAATAGGTATTGCATGACTCGGTCAACGTGAAAGGGACAACCTTGTAGAGACTCTTGTAAGAACCCGCCGCGTAACCTAACACGTTTCCGACCGCCATGAAAAACGAGAAAAGCGCGTTTGCGGTCCGCGTTTTCTTCGCGTTTCCTGCGGATAAATCAGCCAAGAAAGCTCGGCATGGTCCTTGCAAGGTATTGTTAGCAACGTCAAGAATCCAAAACCCGAGAGCGAAGATCGCTATAGCTCGCGTTCTCGGCGGTTTGTCAAGCTTATCACCCATGCTATGACCTATATCGGCGGCGTAACCGATAAGGAAAACAGCAACGGCGACTAAACCAGCTCCGGCGACGATGAAAGGACGGCGACGGCCAAATCTTGAGGTACAACGGTCACTATGGTAACCGACGACGGGCTGAACAAGCATACCGGAGACTGGGCCACAGAGCCAAATCAGAGAAGCCCATTTATGTGGGATTCCAAGTAGCTGCACGTACGGTGTCAATAGAGATAACTGCAAAGCCCAACCGAACTGAACACCGGCGGCGATGGAAGCCACCGATATGATTTTTCGAAACGGTGATGGCTCAGCTAACTCAGCTGTCTGCGTCTCCAGCGCCGCCGCACCGTTCGTAGCTTTCTCCATCTGATGTCCGACCATATTTATAATCAGAAGTAGAAAAAAAGAAACAAAATGATCAACTTTGTTTTCAAATCTTGGTTTTTCCGGTGATTGTTTCCCGGTGTGTTTGGTGGTGGAGGAAGAGGGAGAGTTAAGAGGTATTTATAGGGAGAGAAGGCAGCATAGGATTATCCGAAGAGGAGACAAGTGAGAGTTTAGGAGCCTTGAAATGAAGAAGAGGTAGTGACACGTGTCTTTCTTACATTAAATATCTGTTTTTCTGTTTCTTATTATTTTAGGGTCATATTAATTTCTGTTTTTGGTACTTAATTCTTATCGTGATTTCACTCTCTTCACACTTACGATCTACTGATATGGACCTTCGATTCTCTCTGACAATTTTTTTTCCACCTTTTTATTTATATATTAAAGTAATAGTTAAAATTAAATGTGAATGTATTTGAGAAAAAAAAAACCTGAAGCAAGAAATACGGATAGAGAAAAGTGAGAAGTAACATGTAAGAGCATATACTATGTTGATAGATTATTCGGATTGAATTTATTTTGTAATTTTTAAATTAGGTAAAGAGAAAAAGAGAATATAACTTTCGAATTTCGATCTGAGCGAGTGGCACTAGAATATTTTTCGGTGTTATATATATTTTTGTTATAATAAATTATTGTTATTTTTTTTTCAGGAGTATTGTTAGAAAAAAATTCATTATGGTTTTGGAGAAATAATAAAGGAGGTTGTCTTAAATTGTGAAGATAAATTGACTTATCTTCAATTCTCTGATCCACATTTAAATGAAGATAAGCAAGGCATATTTGTCGATATTACGATCAAAATGCTTGTCGATAATTTCTTCCGTTATCTCTGAAGTCTCACAACTACATGCAATGTTGTGGACTTGACCACTAGTAATAAATATGTGATGTAAATTTATGTTCTCGTTCCTTAATTTCAGCAGAATTTAACAAAAAATCTCGAGAATATTTAAATATTATCCCCTAGGTAGTAGTTAATTTTCCAGCTATGTAGGAGTATAACTATGCGGAAAATTGTTGTTTTGGTTAGAAAACGATGATTTTGGCTAATGGAACGAAGCTAGCTTCTTATGGATGTACATCTCAAGATGATTTTTTGTTAGTCTACCTCAAAATGAATTGCGTAAAGTCGTTCTGTTTTGATGGTGTCAAATGATGTAGATGAAATCTGGAAAAATAGATCTGTCCTGTCGATTATTGAGACCTTGTGATAACGTTTTAGTTGTTAGTGGGTAAAATCATCCCCGTAGTCTTGTGACGAAATCATATATAACTTGTCAACATACAAGCTATTTTCAAATTCAACGGCTATTTGATTGTCCGTTTACAAAGAATGGCAACAAAAACTAGATAAAATCAGGAGAAATTTTTGGAAGTTCAAATTAAATAAATAAACTTGCACCCACTAACAATAACCCAACTTATAAAAAAGGAAAAAACAATTTAATAAAAGCTGGTAAATGTCTCCCACATAACAAAGTGGACACTGTATCATTGCAGTTCATATGCATTTGATTTTGTGGTCCATTTTAATAATAATAATACAAAGTAACTAGTGTGTGAAGTTAATATGAAACAACATTTTATTTATAATGGCCTTGTACGTAGTTTTATTAATTCCAAAACATTAGGGTCGGAAATTGGGACCCCAAAGGAAGGTTGTAGTTAGTTTGCGTCCATCATTGTGCACCCGTAGTTGATTATGACTCGGCAACATGTTTTTTTTGCCTCAATTCTCTTTTATCAACATCTAAATTACGAGAACATAATATTCTTTCTTTTCATCATTTGAATACAATACTAAAAAATAACTTGATAAAATTTATATATGTATAGTATCTTTTAAAAATACTTTCAAAATAAGTATTTGAGGATCTCCACATTGAATTAAGGAGGGGAAAAATGATAGAAAAAAAATACTCCAAAGTAGGGCAAGAGTAGATAATAAATTATACTCAAAAAGATGTTAGGGTTTATTAACTCGGAAATCAATTTGTCCGAAAGACAAAAGTCTACATATTTTGTAGAAAAAAGTTATAGATAATTCATTAAATAATGAGTCAGAGATTTCGAATGACGTGGTGTTGATCAGTTCTAGGGATCGGCACATTGTGGCATTACTGGAATAAAGGAGCGAGAGTAGCTGTTAACTCATTGACCTCTCTGTAACTATCTTAAAACGATTTAATTAACGGTCACTCCCACTTTCCAATTAGAAAATATATCTGATTCAACATTATGTTTTTATCTAGTTGTCTACGTTTTTTACTTTTTTTTTTCTGTTTTGGTTGGAAATATAGTTGTCTAAGTTATATCCGTTACAGAAAAATATATATTCAGAAATAACAAGAGTTGGATTTGTACTTTATTTTTATGCGTTTAAAATTTTGAACTAATCTCAGATGTTTTTACTCTTTGGTTAGCAAAAAAAGTACTATGTTTTGTCTTCTATTTTCAACTCTTGGTTCGATATTCCCAATGATGTTTTTTTAATCATACTAGTTTGAATGAATTTTTTCAACCTTTTGAAGATTATCAATCCATACCAATTTTATAAGTGAAATTTTAGTTTGAGATGAGTTAAGAGTCACAAGGACGTGTGTAAATTAGCTTTAATTAGTTTGAAATGTATGTATCTAATACTAATAAAACATAAGTCACCTCATGATTTATATAAACGACACGTATCCATTTCATTTGTTAATAATATTTTTTTTATATTTTTTGTTTTTCCGTTGATAGTTTTTTTTTTTTTTTTTTTTTTTTTTCAGATTATGAATTTTTTTTCCCAACCACAATCTCTTCAACTTCCAAACCACGATCTCCTTCAATTTCAATTTCCGAAACGATGACCTTCTCTTTCAGTTTTCAACAATTTCTGAAACCACCATTTCCTTCCGAAAACCTTCGATTTCCTTCCGAAACCCCAGTTTTCTTTTTCTTAATCCAGATCTCTAAATTCAACTTCCTCCTTTCACCATATTATGTTCTCTGCAATGTAATTTTCCCTAATATAGTTTTTTCAAACGTATAACCAAGTCTCTTCTTCTTAAATCAGGTATCTCTATCTTTCTCATCAAAATTTCTCAGTCATCATTTTTTTGTTATTGTCTTAATTGAATTTCGCAGGTTGATTTGGAGTTGATTTGCTGAAACAGAAATTGTTATTGTCTTCATTTGGAATCAAAAATCAGAAATTTTTCCTCTTTCATTTTCCAAGGCAGGTAACCCATATGGATTCTGGGTTTTCTTTCCTCCGCTTAATCACAAGCCTTGCTTTAATCTCTAATAGAAGTTTTGAATCTGCTTCCGATTCTAATCCTCGAATCCTGAGTGCTGTTTTGGTTCATGTATTCATAAATTTGACTGCTTCCGATTCTAATCTGCTTATTGATAAACCATGAGTTTTATGATATTGGATACTAGGATCAGTTGTGAGAATAATTAGCTTAGTTTCTCCCGTTCCAAGTAATTGAAATTATTTTCCACAACAGTTTTTTCCTTATATGTTTAAAACAATGGCAGATTCAATTCAAGGACATACACTTCTGACTAATTCAACGATATGGTCTATTCTTCTCTACAAGGTCCTTTTCCTCTTTTTCTATTTTTTCTTCTATGGCTACTTTCCTGTGTTTATGGATATTTTTTGCTCAGATTTCTTAGTTTGTCGAAGCTTATAAAATCTTCATCATTTAACCAGTAAAAATATACGTTTAAGGTTGCCATTGATAAAATATGTTTAAAATACAATATTTAGGTTTATTATTCAAAAAATTGTTTATCTGTTAAAAGCTACATCTAACTGTTAGTTAGCTATTTAGTTCAGGGGAGGGCATCACCGGAGGAATCAGAGTACGCGGTCTTGATGTGGGCAATGCACTGCTGGTCCTACAGTTGAGTTTGAATGTGAAAATCTTATTATCAATAGACATATCAATGGCAAGGTCAGCTAGGAATCTGAAGCTCGAAATTATGTTGGTGGAATCAATTACTGGAGTCACATGCTTAGTTCTGTTAAGTATTCTTTTATGAATCGTACGTCTAATGTTTGTGCTCATAGCTTAGCTAGACAAGCTTTATCATTCCAGAATCTCTGGTCAATTTTTTCAAACATTTGTATCTAACGATTGTTCTATTCAGTAATCAATGAACCATTTTAGCTGTAAAAAATAAAAGTTGTTTGGTTACAAATCAGATTTAAGCTTTTACATTCTAAATTGAACATACATGTCCGTGCATGGCACGGGGTAATACTAGTATTTTATATTTCAAAGTAAAGAGAAGTGAACACCAAACTCGACAATGATAACAAAAGGGAATATCACAGCTACAAAATCAATAAAGAAAAGGGAGAGCAAAATACAAACTCGGATAATTAAAAGAAAAATGAAGATAAAGTATCGGAATGGTCGGTAGAAAAAAAGAGAATAATAATTAACGAATTTCTGAAAAACAAAACGCAAAACACAAAAAGAGAAAATACACGTCACCAGGGGAAAGAGTGAGGTTCACGCGCTTCGAACAACGGAGGGAGAGGTTACGTGCGCAAAACGGTTAAACTCCGCTAAGTCAAAGAGAAAGAAGTGTGGTCCATTCGGAGACTTCGTTGACTTTGAGAAAATTAATACACACCTTCACGGACAAAAGAGTTTCATACATTTGACTGTTGTGTCCTAAAATAAGTAACGGCTAACGGACATAGTCTCTTCTTCTTGGAAAACGGGACAAATGTCCGTATATACATACATGCAGATGCAGTGAGTAATTTGTCTTCCGCTTCGTTTGGTAGTTTTTCGTCTAGTAACGTCGTCCTTTATAAGGTCTTACTTAATCTAACCATCAAAGTGATCGATAAGCTGAGGTTATCATAATCGAGTGGTTGCAATTAGAGTTAGCTTGAAAACCAATCGGAAATCTCAATTTATTGTTAACATTTGATTAAACTACTCTTTTGTTTGGATTTGTGTATAAAA